TGAAACATTAAATTCTTTCGCTGTTACTCCTCTAGCTGCTGCCCCTCCCGCCATCGCTCCTCACACTGTCGCTCCTCAGACTGCCAACTCCTCCTGCCATCACTCCTCACACTGCCGCTCTTCCAACTATCACTCATCACATTGCCGCTGCTTCTGTTGTCACTCATCACACTTGTACTCTTCCTGTCATCGCTCCTCACAATGCCACATCTCCTGTCATCGCTCCTCACACTGCCGCTCCTCCTGTTGTTGCTCCTCACGCTGCTACTCCTCCCACCATCTGTCCTCACACTGCTGCTCCCCCTGCCGTTGCTCCTCACGCCCCTGAAGCTGACTTGCCCAGCACAGCTCAAAGTCCACCCACTCCCAAAAGGTTCTCCAAATAGGGCGGTCCAGAGCAGCATCTCTCTGCTCCATAAAACACGAGGCTGCATATGAAATTGACCAGTGCAATTGAGGATTCTGGCCTTGTCGTGGTTTTCTGGGGGGTGGGTGCTGGGTGTGGGAGGGGGACTCTGCTGTGCCGTAATGGTGTTTTCGCTGCCGCCAGTCTCCACGCTTCAGCTCCGCATTCCGGCAGTGGCTTTAATAAATCTCATGCATGCAGACGGCGGCTAAACTGCCTGCTTTTAGAGGAACGCAGAGAGAGTGAGTAGACAGCTGCTACCTCCAGCTGCCGGCTCCAAGTTGGGTCCTCAGAATGTCCTGGGGGGAATAGGGTTCAGGGCAACGGCGTCGCATCAATGTGAGTGATGCCCTCCTCCCTCACATTCCGCCCCCAGCCCCCACCTGCTCCGCCCCCCCGCTTTGTCAGTTGCTCTGCAGAGTCCTTCACTGAGGGCCACATCTCATGACGAACGTTCTGCCTTCACATCCTCCCACGCGGGACCTCGTCTTCTGCGCAGGAGTTGTTAACGTTCACTTCTGAGTGAGCTTCAGCCATCCATGCACAGTATATGTATTCAGATTTTCGCCGAAGATAATCTGTCATCCTCATTCTCATTAAGGATGTCAACTTATTAGCTATTCAAAGAAAAACAAGATTGGCTAAACAAGATTGATTAATCTCTTCTAGTTATCCGGCACCTAATTACAGACACTTTATATGTAAATGTTCCAACCTCTGTATCATACGTTGTTTGTAGATCACAGGGAGGTGCCAACTTCAAACAGTTCTGTGGGCGTTTTTTAATTCTGATTGATAAGCCAGTTATTTTTACGATGGGAGATCTTGATGCTATTGGCTGTGCAGACCTACAAAGGCACGAAACAGTAACTATGCTGACACTGAAACTGAGAAAAAAAGAGCTTCACAGGTGCTTGGATGCCCACCTGCACGTGTAGTAAGTAGATAAACGGTAGCGTTTTCTTCAAAACTGAGCATCACGAGATAAAGCGGAGTATAGAGAGATGATTCCTGATTTTGATAGAACATGCAGTTGCGCTGTTTTGACCTGATCTGTTCGGGTTGGTGTGCATTGGCTGCAGCTTTGGATGGTTCTCTCTGTTCTTCATCTGACCCCCTGTGCTGTCCAGCGGACCCGTCTCAGACAGTGCAGGGCTCACTGGGGCACAGCCTGACAGGATACTAGTCCACTGCAACACAAACTCACAGATGTGTTATGTGGGCAACTTAGAGATACTAGTCAATCTAACTGCATTAGGACTGCGGGAGGACACAGACACAGAGCCAAAGGTGGATTCGAACCCCAACATTATACCTTATGTGAGTGTAGTGCAGTGTTTCCTAACCCAGTCCATGGGGATCCACACACAGTCCACATCTTCGGTCCCTCTCAGCTCTCAGCCAGTGAAGAACACTGAACACCGGGTACCAGTGTGTTGGGAGCTGGATGAGAAGAGAAAAGTGGAATGCGTGACGGACCCAGAGGACTGGGTCGGGAAACTCTGCTGTACAGAATTCATTTGGGATGTGTAATGTGGGTCTTTAGGTTAAGCAGAGGAATCAGGCACACAGCCCTTAATACAGTATTGATCTGATATCTCTGCCGTATTTGTAGATTAAGGGTCAGTCTTTTATAAGTAATGCTGGTTTGAATCCTCCCCAGTACTGTTACCGAACAGTGTGGTGTCACGCCTTAGGTATGACCAGTTAGCAAAAATTAATGTACAAGATTAAAAAGTTTTCCATTCTTTTTGTCATTTCACTCAAATCCTAGTTACATTTTGTAATTCACAAGCATGCAGTGTGAGTTACACTGGGCCTGACTGCTGCGCAGTTACAGAGGGGGGGTTTTGGAATCATATCAGGATATTATTTGTGTTTCATGTACCTTCTCAGTGTTTGACCACCACATCTTTTGAGATGCGGAAAATTGCTATTTTTGGTGTCTTTGACAGACCGAACGGTTTATTCTTCTGGGTAAAAGCACATAATAGGTTTCTCGGGGAATGGAACGGCCTTCCTGTTCTGTCGGAGAAAAAAAACACATTCTGACATAGTTTTTCTGTGGAGTTCATCTGACTTTCTAGGAAAGCCCACTGCGCTCATTAAACACTGGCACTTCTCATATCAGCACTGGCACAGTTAAATAGCCCTGCCAACTCTGATGTGTATTTGTGTATAACTCAAGGTTACAAAATAAGCCGGTCTGTTCTGGACCTTCTCAGTCCTGGTCCTGACAGGCCACTGAGGATATTGGGCACTTTTGTACAGCTGAGTGCTTAATTAGTTTGCTTCCATTTAACGGTTGGTCAAACAAATCATATGATTCGTGGCATTAAACAGAACAGTCCAGTTGAGGCCTTTTCTGGCGTACTGTAATTTTTATTCTTGTGTCTGTTTTCCTGTACTGAATAATTAACTTGCTAATCATTAATGGGGGTGAATTCAAATGGGCATGGAGCACATTTTTAAATGTGAACAATTACAGATAGGCTAAGAGAAAACTGAAAGAAATTGGCTTACTATACATTAATGTAATTTGAATCATACAATTCATTCAAACAGTTCAGTCAAGGCCTATAGATTAAGAGGCCAGTTGGAAGAAAGACCTGGATGCAAGTTTTAACATAAATGTGACAGTCCCTCATCCACAGTCCCTCATCTGCGATCCCTCATCCACAGTCCCTCATCCACAGTCCCTCATCTGCGATCCCTCATCCACAGTCCCTCATCTGCGACCCCTCATCCACAGTCCCTCATCCACAGTCCCTCATCTGCGTCCCTCATCCACAATCCCTCATCCACAGTCTCTCATCTGCGATCCCTCATCTGCAGTCCCTCGTCTGCTTCCCTCATCCGCGATCCCTCATCTTCAATCCCTCATCCGTTGTCCCTCATCCACGATCCTTCATCCATGGTCCCTCATCCACAGTTCTTCATCTGGATCCCTCATCACCAATCCCTCATCTGTGGTCCCTCATGCCAGCCCCCGAGGCCCTGGTCCCTGTACATACAGAGCCAGTAAAGGGCACACCTCTGGCATGATGCCCAAATTGGGAAATCACTTTTACAATAGATACCCCTGCTGGGGCACTTTGGGCTGGTCCTCATTTGGCAAATTAATTAGTAATCAACAACAGCTGTACTGAGCCAGGCCCGGTTTGGGCATGCTGATTGTCAGGCACTGAAGGGGACTGCATTCTTTGGGATGGAGCCAAACCCTACTGAAAGGGCTTTAAACATTATACACAGCCGGAGGGGGCTCCCAACTCTCACATATGTATATATTACTGAAATGAATGGACGGTCCCCACAAAGAAGTGAGTACAAATGTGTGTGTGTTCTTTTCATGCAAATGGTGTCAGCATGATGTGTGTGAGTATTTGCGCTGCGATGGACTGGCATCCTGCAGGGGGCGCCCCCCCCCCCCCAGTTATGTGCCTTTCATGTCATTGTGATGTGCCCCAGACCCCCTGCGACTCTGTCCTGGGTAGAGGGTGTGGAGGATAGATGGAGGGATGGATGGATGGACGGATGGGTGGATTGATGGACGGACGGACAGATACCCACACGCATATGGAAACGTTTACCTTCATGTCAGGGGTGCCTGACTCTGAAATGGTGAGGTCACTGCAAGAGATAATACCGGTTTCAGCCTGAAGGGATCCCAGGCTGCACTACAAACCAACCTGCACCCCCCCCCCTAAAACCCCCCGGCTGTGCACTTAATCCTCGTCATTTCAGTCTCACTGCCATCCACTGCTTATCAGGAACCCTACACACAATGCCCCCACAATGCAGTTCCTGCAGTCCAGATGGAGAGGGGCTGTTCGCCGTCTTGCAGTGATGCAGAGCACGTGTGGGTCCAGGCGAGTGGCGGCCCGGCCCTTCGTATCCCCCACACCCGCGCCTCTCCTCTGATGTTCCTAATCCCATCAGCTCCTACCAGGGACCTTGTGGGCTTACTATCTCAGAAACAATATTTGCTGAAAGCCGAGGAGACTAAGTTCCAGTCTGGCTTGTGCCACCTGCCAGCTGAAGCCCCCCCCCCCCCCCTACTCGCATGTTCACTGCTGTGTCACTGCAGTACATGGCCAATATCAAGTAACAATAGTCACAGGTCCTTATCAGGTGTAAGAACATTCATTAACGCGTTACATTAACTGCATCTTCATGATGCATTCATAGAACATACAATTATAATGTTTATTATTATCATATAATGTTTCTTATTAGTGTATAGTAAAGCTGTTAAGCTATGCTAGGATGTTATGGTATACTTGAATTAAACATGAAGGTGCATTTAATGTAAAGCATTATCTAACATTCAGTGTGTGGAAGAAGTTATTTTTTTATCTTTACCCATGTAAAGACAGTTTAAACAAGAAGAACAACAAAAATAACAATAAATTATTAATAATAAATAAGAATTAATATTATTTGTTATCATTATTGTTATATTAGTGTTAAAAATTATATTATTGCTATTCTTGTTCTTCTTCTTATTGTTGATAATTATCAGTTTGGAGTACTGTAACACTGTATATTACAGTGTCCAATCATTTTACAGCAGTGCCGCGTGTCTCCTCTGCAGGCGTTCCTGGGCAACTCCAACACCGAGAGCGTGGTGCGGCACGAGCTGCAGCATGCCATCGTGGCGCGTTTCCTGCGCTTCATCCCGCTCAAGTGGAGCGCTGAGGGCCGTATCGGACTGCGCATCGACGTCTACGGCTGCGCCTACTGTAAGTGTCCCTCCGTCCCCCGTCCTCCCCTCCGTCCATCCGTAATGTGCGACCACGATTACACGGACGCCGCACCGTCGACTTGCCGCTCGGCGTTTCCGAAATCGCTGCCAAATTAGACCTGCTTTCCAGCGAAATGTTGCAGAACATCCCCCAGCTTAATAGCAGTATTTGTCTCCAGCTTCTCAATCATTATCGTCATGTTCCTGCTTCAGGAGAGTAATTGAAAATAATGAAATGATAAAGGCGGGTGATGAACTGCTTCTCAAATGCTGTCGGGCCCACTTTATGTTCATAAAAAAAAAATCACCGACGACTTCTCATTCTGTTTGACATAGCTCCCCTAATCAAATTATCATAATAGCATCAGATTTTTTTTTATTAATTTCAAAATTGATTTGGTCTTGTATCTTTCATCGAGCTCTTTTATCACCTAAGTTGAATATAGATGGAATCTCCAGCGTGGTGATGTATCAAACAGGAACTGATCGTGGAGACTGTGTCTCCAGACGACGGGACACGAAATGGAATTTGTTAGAAACGAGCAATTGAACACACACTCGTTATCTAAGTTAAAGGTTTTTGTTGTTGTTGTTGTTAAATCCTCCAAGTTGCAGACTATTGTGAAACTGTCTTTCTCAAGCATTTATGCAGTTGAGAGTTGGCCTGGGTTATTTGCGGTAAGCAATATTCTTGAGCTTCTTTCGCTAAGTATCCGGCGGCCTCTGCGTTCACCCGGGACACACGGCCGATCGCGTACGTCGATAAGGGTGGGCAGCAGCCAGAAAAACATGATCCCGCCGCTAGCAGACCCGCTATGCGCGGCTCCAGCTGCCTGCCAATTCCTTCGGAAAATGAGATGCGTCCGAGATAAAGGATGATATTCCACTTTGGCTCCTGCAAAACAACAGTAATGAGATAGCGGGGGCTTGTCCGCATTCGGAATGGCGATGTGCTGGGACCCCTGACCCCCACCATCGAGGACAATGCATGAGAGCACCTTTGATGGGGGTGATGGGGAATTGGCAGGGGAGATAACAGTGGTGTGGGGGCTGGGGGGGGTCTATAACAGTTCAAACTCAGCTCCCGCCGCGCATTAGCCAGGCACATTACCCAGGCACATTACCCAGTGCCTCTTGGGGCCACCTGCAGCTATCGTGTCCGTCCCTTCAATCCGGCCGAGCAGCCAGGATGGAGAACTGGCCGCTGTCTGCGCTGTAAACGCTCGGCTAACAGGAATCGGCATGGATCGCCGGTGAATAGGGGGGCACGCCACATCTTATTTACAGAGGGGAGGGGGGCCAGGCATATAGCCGGTAAAATACCAGGTATGACTCCCCCCTCCCAAGGAACGCGGGAAGTAAAACTAGGAGTTTAAACGCAAGAAAATACAGAGACTCCACTCCCCCCCGATTGGCCGAGGCCCCCTACGAAATAACTTTCTGGTCATTTCCGGGAGACCTGCCCCCTTTAGGATACGCCTTCTCGCAGTCCCGGGTCTGTCAGAGGCGAAGTAAAAATTAGCCGTCATACGGGAAAAAGAAAGTACTTGGTGTTAAAGCATAAAAATATTATCCCGGCCAAATCAGTACTCCAAGGTCATTTTTAATCATCTTGCTTAAATCATAACTTAGAAGCTTATTGACGGCCCTCTTGAGTTTTGTATATGTATCTTTTTGCCATTAATATCTACTCTTTCCCGTATTTTTGGCAAAGTGTACAGATACGTGTGAGCCGGTTTATCCCTCTACATGTCATTTATTTAAGCTGCACCTCAGGCAATGTCTGCTTATCCACAGTCTTATTCATTAGCTTCTACCCCAGGCGATGTGTCCACCAGCAGCGGAGTAGTACAGCGTCCGACTGACTAATGTCATTCAAAAGCCACCAGCCGTGTTTTATATCAAGAGTCATGAATAACAGAAGCGAAACTCTTCGGTGAATTCCTGCAAAGCGTACAAGAAGCCGGCAACTTCAATTTCCCTGCTCAGGGATGCTTGTGAGGGAATTTAAATTAGCAGGAATGTCCGTTCATTTAGATGGCTAACAATTTGTTCTCCACCATGCAGCGTATTGGCAGAATTATTAGTCCAGAGCTACATTTTGCAGCTCCTTGCCTTCCGTCTGTACTTCACCACGGGGGAATGGGCTATAGTTTATCTGTGAATCGGACCTCCCCCCCC